CCATACAACTTTGTATATCATTGTTAAAACCATTAGTACTCTGTAGATGACTTTTTCTCTCGAATCAAAATGTTAGTCCTGCCAACATTAAATTTGAATTTCTTGTTTGTGTAGTCATATCCCTCTGTGGCAACACATAAAGCAATCTTGATTGAAATTGAGAGCCAGGCTACTGCAATTTCAAATATATAGAACTAATATATAAAACACTATATTTTGAAGGAGATTTCATATATAGGAAGTCATATTTATAAATTATGCAAAGTGCTAAATGTTAATAAAGGTTGTGTGGAAACTGTTTTCGACCTCATTATATATTTGTTGACAATGAGGTTAGCAGTTTTAAGTTTTTTATAGTAGATAATTTAATTTTCTTGTTTTTGCTGATTGGAGTTTTATATTTCTTTATAATGTCTGTAAGAGAAAATTAAATTATCTACTATAAAATATTTAAAACTGCTAACCTCATTGTCAACAATAACAACTAACCTGCATGATCCCAAGTATTATATATATATATATATATATATATATATATATATATAAATAAATAAATAAAATGTAAATCTATTTAAATTCGGTGGGTGAAAAAAACCTGGATGATACCATGTATTTGAAACCTAGGTAGGTAATAACTAGCTCATTTATTATATATATATATATATATATATATATATATATATATATATATATATATATATATACACACACACAATGCTTTGTGATAATTCCCAACCACTTGGCTATCTCTCTCTCTCTCTCTCTCTCTCCCCCCTTCAAAGTTACAACCTTTATCATTGTTTCAGTAGAGATTTTAGCTCTGATTTAGTGTGTGGGAAAAAAAAAAAAAAGAAAGCAAGCAAATGTTCAATTACAATGACTTGCATAGGCACCCATACACTCATTAATAAGATAAAACAATTCCTATTTAGAAATTTGCATATTATTGTGTCTATCATCTCTGATCTTACATTCACCCAATAATTTTGCATGCCTTTTTTTTTTTATCTCCTGAAAGCTGCTTAGCTACAGAAACACAACTTAATTTTCCAATGGTCAAGTTCCACAAACTATTTCTAAACAAACTCCTTAAATGTGTCTAATCAGTTTTAGGTAGTCCTCTCAAACTTTTGCCTGTCAGTGTATACAAAGACAATAAAAATATTTGTCACTGTAAAATATTGATTCAAATAATATAACAAAAATGAAGAAACTGCATCAAGGATTAACATTTTACCTCCATTTTTGTTATATTTTTCAGTCCTCCAGTTAGTAATATTTTATAATATATAATTTTAATTATAATATATTATTTTATAATATTTTATTCTTGCTTTATAATATTAAAATATTACTTATTATTATCCTATAAGTGATATTTTATTATTATCTTATATTGTATTATTATTTTAATGTTATCTTATATCTTATATTTTATCTTATAAGTGATTTTATTATTATTATTTTATTATCTCATCATAAGTGATTTTATTATTATTATTTTATTATCTCATCATAAGTGATTTTATTATTATTATTTATTATCTCATCATAAAGTGATTTTATTATTATTATTTTATTATCTCATCATAAGTGATTTTATTATTATTATTTTATTATCTCATCATAAGTGATTTTATTATTATTTTATTATCTCATAATGAGTGATTTTATTATTATTATTATTATTATTTTATTATTCATAATGAGGTGATTTTATTATTATTATTATTTTATTATCTCATAAGTGATTTTATTATTATTCTATTATCTTATAAGTGATTTTATTATTTTATTAGTATTATTATTTTATAATAAGTAATATTTTCTTTTCATACTTGCACATCTTCTGGATTTGTTTTAATATATTTGTATATATTATTATACTTTTAAAAATGCCACTTTTTAAAACCATAATTCCATAAATTATTCAAACTAGTATACTTATCGTTACTATTTTGATAAAAACATTCAGCTCAAAATGTTTTCTTTCTTTTGTTTTTTTTAATGTTAACCAACAAATTATTTTTTTTAGTCTCCAAAATAAAAAAAAAAAAAAAAAGCAAGAAAAAAGAACTGAACAATTCACTAAAAGGCTACTAAATGAAACATTCACATGAAGAAACTAGGAGGAGGATATTAGTTCAGATAATACATGGAATAATGACAATACTCAAAGTTCAGGGAATACAAGGAAAACCATTGAAGGCTCAAAACAATAAAAATGAAGATACTTGTTTAATTGATTTGTGAAATCACAAGAGTTAAATATTATCTAAGTTCTTTGATTAACAAAATAGTAATTAATGGTTGCAATTTAATCCCTACAAGAGGATTGAGGTAATATAAATACCAAATCTTTCATTTTATAAGTTTGTGAAAGATTAGGGAGCTTTGCTTTTCTGATAGCTCGTATACATAACAATCCTTCTTACAAATAACTGGTATTATGAACGGGGCAAACAAACAGTTGTTCATTTTCTTTTTTTATCAAATATTAAAGATTTTCAGGAAATAAATTAAGGAAGTCTTGTATATGAAAAAAAATTATTTATGATTATGGATAATAATGATCAGCATTTGAGGAATGAAGTGTCAAACTTTTCCCTGACTTTGTGTTCCTTAGACCACATCTGGTTAGGAGCTCTCTTTTACCATTATCTTATGGATCCATCCCCTTTGTATCCCTTAGACCACATCTGGTTTGGAATGCTGTTTTGCCATTCATTATCTTATTGATCCCCACTACCTTGTGTCCCTTAGACCACATCTGGTTTGGAAAGCTTTTTTGATATTCATTATCTTATCGATCCCCCACCACTTTGTATCCCTTAGACCACATCTGGTTTGGAATGCTCTTTTGCCATTCATTATCTTATTGATCCCCACTACCTTGTGTCCCTTAGACCACATCTGGTTTATGAATGTTTTGTTTTGCCATTCATTATCTTAGACCACATGGTTTGGAATGCTGTGTTGATTCATTATCTTGTTGATCCCACTACCTGGTTTAGACCAAAAAACTGTTTTGATATTCATTATCTTATTGATCCCCACTACCTTGTGTTTATTTTAGACCACATCTGGTTTGGAATGCTTTTTGATACTCATTATCTTATTGATCCCCCACCACTTTGTATCCCTTAGACCACATCTGGTTTGGAATGCTCTTTTGCCATTCTATTATCTTATTGAAAAACTACCTTGTGGAAATTTAGACCACATCTGGTTTGGAATGCTCTTTTAAATTATTTTTCCCTTAGACCAAATTTGCCTTTTACCATTCATTATCTTATTGATCCCCACTACCTTGTGTCCTTAGAAAAATCTGGTTTGGAATGCTTTTTTGCCATTCATTATCTTAAAACCTTGTGTCCCTTTAGACCACATCTGGTTTAAAATTATTATTTTATTTTCCCCACTACCTTGTGTCCTTAGACCACATCTGGTTTGGAATGCTGGTTTTTTGATACTCATTATCTTATCGATCCCCCACCACTTTGTATCCCTTAGACCACATCTGGTTTGGAATGCTGTTTTGCCATTCATTATCTTATTGATCCCCACTACCTTGTGTCCCTTAGACCACATCTGGTTTGGAATGCTGTTTTGCCATTCATTATCTTATTGATCCCCACTACCTTGTGTCCCTTAGACCACATCTGGTTTGGAATGCTGTTTTGCCATTCATTATCTTATTGATCCCCACTACCTTGTGTCCCTTAGACCACATCTGGTTTGGAATGCTCTTTTGCCACTCATTATCTTATTGATTACCTTGTGATAAAAAGACCACATCTGGTTTGGAATGCTCTTTTGATACTCATTATCTTATCGATCCCCCACCACTTTGTAAAAGACCACATCTGGTTTGGAATGCTGTTTTGCCATTCATTGGATATTTTCCCCAATACCTTGTGTTCCTTAGACCACATCTGGTTTGGAATGCTGTTTTGCCATTCATTATGTTATTGATCCCTTGCACCTTGTGTCCCTTAGACCACATCTGGTTTGGAAAACACTTTTGCCATTCAAAATCTTATTGATCCCCCACCATTTTGTATCCCTTAGACCACATCTGGTTTGGAAAGCTTTTTTTGCCATTCAAAATCTTATTGATATTGAACTACCTTGTGTGAACTTTGACATCTGGTTTGGAAAACTCTTTTGTCATTCAATATCTTATTGATCCTGCCCCCTACTTTGTGTTCCTTAGACCACATCTGATTTGGAGCTCTCTTTCCCCTTTCATTATCTTATTGATCCCCACTACTTTGTGTCCCTTAGAACACATCTGGTTTGGAAAACTCTTTTGCCATTCATGATCTTATCGATCCCCCACTTTTTTTCACTTAGATCACTGCTGGCTTGCAACACTGTGTTATCATCTATTAATTACCATAAGACTTTTGTGTACTATAGTTTCCAAACAATGTTTAAAGACAAATCTTTTACATGATGAAACAGGATGCACAGCTGGTATAATATGATTATCAGTGCAAAAAAATACAAATTACTTAATGATTTCACCCCAAGCAAGGCAATAAAGCCACTAAGATGCAAAGAGTTATTGAATGTGAAAGAATATAAAAAAAGAAAAAAATATTATCAAGCAGAGAGAACGATAAAAATCCAGGAATTAAGAAGACAACATAACGATTGAACACTGCATTAAAATTTTTTAAGATCAAATTTGACTGAAAAACATGGAAACAAGAAAAGAAACTGTTAATATAGAACTTATGGCTATATCTTGCAATTTGGTTGGTTGATTCATTTTCTACAACTTAACCCTTTGCAGGTTATTTAAAGCCAGGAAATATTTTTAGATTGTGAGAATTTTTTTTTTTTAAAGATAATAATACATGTCTTACTAACTCACTCATAGCTTCGGTTAGAAGTGGTGGTTTCATGCCTTTCCCCCAAGAGTATTTGCACATAAATGAATATAAAAAATTAGAACTCCGCACCCCGATTAACAATTCTGAGCCATTATCCATTACACCACTTACATTCCAAAGCATTCACCCATCTAGGTACTGAGCAGGCTTAATGTTGCTTAACTTTGGCAATCAAATGGGAACTGGTGTTTCAATATGATGTTGCAGTAAGATATCTAGCAATTCTAACTAAAATGATGAGACCTAGTTACCAATTTAGTACTGTGTTTAAATTCTGGCCCAAACTGTTCTATTTGCTTAGTGATTAGTAAACAGTATTATCTCCATTTATAAAAGGCAGGATATGTGTGTGTGTGTGTGTGTGTGTGTATAACAAATGCACGGTCGCAATTTTGACGGATTTGCACCAAAATTTACATGCACATGCTCCAAGTTAGCGGGAAGGCCAAGACTGACTTTGCATTTCCCAACTCCCATCGATAGTGAAAATAATCGATTTTTTTTTTGCAGTTTTCTAGTTGGCAGCCATTTTCATGGCCAGTTTGAAGCCAATTTTGACAAATGGCCAGGATGAGCCTACAGCTGACTGAGACCAATGTTAACTAGACACGAAAAAAAAAAAAAAAAAAAAAAAAAATCGATATCTGCATTTGTCACAAGTGGAAAAATTTAAATCTGCATGGCACTTTACTCCAATTGGTTCATTCGCTTAAACTGGGTTGATTCTGATTGCAGAACTGGGTTGGTGTGAAAACATTCTTTTTTCATTCTTTTTTTTTTTCCAGTTACAAGTCCTTTTTAAAGCTGATTGTTTTGTGTTCATTTTGTTTAGTTCTTTTTTTTTTGTAACAGATTTAATGTTTAGTATAGAGCTTAGAAAAATTCGCAGTGTGAGATAGGCAAGAAGTAAGGCATGTAGCAACATCAGCATGGCAAAGGGCACTACTTTAAAAGGCAAGGAAGGGCAAAAAATATTTTTAAGTGATAGCGATTGCTGTATGAGTCATACGATTTTTTTAATCAAGCATGGGCAACGCCGGGCCATGCTCCTAGTAGACTGATAAAGCAATTAGTCTAGAGGAACAAGAATACTGAATTCAAATCCATAAAGGCAGCAATAGAAAACCACTCCCCTATCTTTTCCCAAAAAGTCATGGCATTTCACAAACTATTTACCCATGACAACCAACTTGTTGCAGATGGTCTTAATTATAGTCTCAAATGGGTTTTAAAGAAAAGTAAACTGCAGTGAGCCATGACCACTTGTGTCCTGAAGGGATAAAGCAATTAAAAAAATTGAAATAGCTAAATGTAATTGCCACTTCTACTCCAACAGTTTCTTTTCTTGCACTTCTCACCTGTGGAACTCTTCGTTTTTCTTATCAACCACCATCTTATCTCCTTGAACCCTGTTCATTTTTCTTTTTTGTCCTTTCTTCAATCCTCCCTATTCTCAGTTTCCTCTTTCACTTTCTGTAAAAGTTCTAGTGGCATTAATAACTTGCTTGGGGAGAAATTTGTTTTTTTTTAACAGATCGCGACAGGTATTAGGGAGATGTGATTAAATATACGTTAATGTTTTAAAAAAAAAATTATTGAGTATTATTGTTTAGGTAATTGTTGTAGCATACCTACAGACAATAATGGGTATGTCCTCATTCACATAAATACAGTAGTGAATACTGTATATTGGTCTGCAGTTGGAGATTCATTGTGGAATTCACTTGACTGACTTCTATGCATTGCTGGCGAATCTTATATTTTTGTTCTCAAAAAAAAAGTATTATCATTCATTACCAACCTAATGTTTTGATTATTCTATTCAGTAACCTTCCATTGTTTACAACAGTAATAAGCACTAGAACATAGCACAAATATATATTGTGGACAAAGGAATTTTTGACACTATACACATTTTTATGTATTTATGGTTATTTTTTAACTTTTAAAAAAAACAACATTATTGTACATGTAGTTATGGATAATATTATACATTAATTACTAATTTTTTTAAATTAATAACTATTTGTGCTCAGTTGTTGACATTAATAGCTATCTGCTGATGTGTTAAAATTTTGGAATAATGCAATGATAAAAATTTAAATTTCATCTCTGATAGATGTCGCGATCTGTAAATTAATGAGAAAAATTTTCCCAATCAAGGGAGATAACTAAAACAGCATAAGCTTAGAATTTTAAACACAGAATGCCTTTATGACAACTTTTAATTATGGCATTTAACTTGACATTTAAGCTTAAAACAAAAAAAATCTAAACAAGAAACCTGTCTTTACGTCATTAATAAAATAGGAATATTGCTAAACAAGTTGAACCACCTGCTTAAAACTTCTCTACACACAAACCACTGGTCAGCCATCAACAGCAATGCCAGCGGTCATCTAGTGGCAGCCACAGATGGGCCTCTAGCAGTCCGCCAGTGGTAACATTGCCAAGACGAACACGCTCGCAGTCCAACAGCGGGCCACCAATGACGAACACTGCTGGCATGCCATCCAGTGGCAGATTGGCAGAAAAAAAAAAAAAAAAAAAAAAAACAAATTCTCCCAAGAAAAGAGAGTCCCATTTCATTGTTTATTTCTTGTGTCATTGATAAAAGACACAGGCATGCCCGAAAAATTTGACTTTAAAATCTTTCGCCTTGTGCTTCTGTTAGGTCTATTAATATAAAATAAATATTATTAGTCTTATTGACAATATTTTTGTTATTTTTTTTTTTTTTTTAATTCTTCAAATTTCATTAACTGACCTATTTAATCTAAACTGATTATTAAATTATTAATTATTATGAAATCTTTATTAAGTTGATGAAAAATTTTAGACCAAATAGAAACATGAGAAAAATATTAAAAATCAAATCTTTTGGTCAGTTGGACATTTTTTTACCTTTTGCACATGAAAATATAAAATGACTTGGACATTTTTTTAAATACATATGAAAATATACATATTATATATATATACATACATATATATACATATATATATATATACATACACACATATATACATATATATATATATATATATATATATATATATATATATATATACATATATATATATATACATATATATATATACATATATATATATATACATATATATATATATACATATATATATATATACATATATATATATATATATATATATATATATATACATATATATATATATATATATATATATATATACATATATATACATACATATATACATATATACATCTCCCATCCTTCTCTGTAACCTTTCCCCAAATATGCCTCTTTACTCTTGTTTTCAATCCTCTATAACCCTTTGCATGCTAGTGGCACCTTGCTTGAGGTGAATTGCTTTTAAGAAAAAAATTATATACATGTATATTATAAAATGAACTAAGTTCAATTATTTTAATATATTTTCTGTTAATTTTTTTTTTCTATTAATTATTTAACATAAAATTGTCATTTTTTTATTTTTTTTTATTTAATCTATCTGATTTCATTGAAATAGTTAATTCTCGACACTTCATATTAAGCAACTCCACTAATGTCATTAGTGTGGCTAAAGCAATTTAGAAATAAATAGATAAATACAATGAAAAATAGCATTAAACACTTAGTGAAGTGTTATTTTTTATTTTAATTGAGCTTATTCAGCAAATTTTCATTCTGAAAAAATTTCATCTAATTTCAGCCATAACTTTATATATTTTTCTAATTTAATTTTCATTCGCTTTTAGTAGAACCTTATTAATAATGAATGCACAAGAATACATTTTTGTTGATTCACAAATTGGCAAGCCGCCCTAGTAGACAGGTATCCTTGAATACAAGTGGCCATCTATATACTTGATTGCTTATTTTTGTAATCTATCACACGTACATAATACAAGTAATAACAGAA